GTTTCGAAAAAATATTCAAATAGTAGCATGTACTTGTTTTTTTTTCATTTGTAGCAGTTTTGTATATATATATATATGGAGTAAATATTTATTGCGAACGCAAATTCAAAGATCTAACATCGTTGGGCTAAATTTGAGACGAATCTATATCCTTATATAGCCTAGTTGGTCGAGTGGTCTAGGGCGCTGGACACAGTGCAGGCAATGGTTCAAATCCCGCTGAGGGGAGAACAAAAATGTGCGAACGCAAATTTACAGATCTAACATCGTTGGGCTAAATTTGAAGACGAATTATATATATATTATTGTGTTAGCCCTCCTGTATAACTACGAGTTATCCGATGGAGAATGTCTGTCATAAAGTTGTCAAATGTTTATGTATATATTATAATTAAGATAAAATTATAAATTGATGTGACGGCATGGTAATTATCATCCTTTAAGACGGACAAAACATAGCTGATCTGAAAGATATACCATCCTACTTGCCATTATACATCATGTTCTGTGTTACAACGCTAGATAAAGCCGACGAGGAAAGGCATTACTCGACTAACGAAAGCTATATTCTTATATAGCCTAGTTGGTCGAGTGGTCTAGGGCACTGGACACGGTGCAGGCAGTGTTGCCACGATGTCACAAAAGCAAGGTTTCAAATCCCGCAGTAGGAAGAACTTACAGATCTAACATCGTTGGGCTAAATTTGAGACGAAATATATATATATTATGGTGTTAGCCCTATATAACTACGGGTTATTCGTGGAGAATGTCTGTCATAATTTATTATACACATGCAAATAAACTCATCATAGGTACCAGGATTAAAATTTTGTACGCCAGATGCGCGTTTTGTCCACAACAGACTCATCAGTGACTCTCGAATAAAAAAGTTAAAAAGGCCAAATGAAGTACGAAGTTGAAGAGCATTGAGGACCAAAAATTCCGAAAGGTTTTGTCAAATACAGTTAAGGTAATCTATTCATGGGTTAGAAAAATTTAAAGTTTTATAAACAGTTAATTTATAATTATGACCATATCAATGATGATTCATGTCAACACAGAAGTGCTGACTACTGGGCTGGTGATACCCTCGGGAAGTGGCATCGATCTAGTGGTTGTAAATAATATAAAAATAAGGAGAAGTGGTATGATTGCTAATGAGACAACTATCCACCCACGTTCAAATGAAGTGGATGTTAGCAATTATAGGCAACCGTACAACCTTTAACAATGAGAAAAACCCATACAGTATAGTCGGCTATAAAAGGCCCTGACATGAAAAATATGAAACAATTCAATTGAGAAAACTAACGGCCTAATTTATAACCATCATAGATACCAAGATTAAAATTTTGTACGCCAAACGCGCGTTTCGTCTACAAAAAAACTCATCAGTGACGCTAGAATAAAAACAGTTAAAAAGGCCAAATAAAGTACGAAGTTTATTTTTTTTTATAATTCTTTATTTTGTATTTCTTCATCTTATACAATAATTATATGTTTTTTTTCTGTAAAAGAAGAATACAATACATGTTTAATAATTATGACCTGTCAGTGTCAGCGCTTATATTATATAATCACACACACCCCTCTCCCCCCCCCCCCCCAAAAAAAAAAAAAACAAAAAAAAAAACAATATTAACTTATATTCATATATGATTAAATTGATATTAATAGAATAGATTATTATTTATGCAACATACTTGTACTCATAAAAACATCAAGTGACATATTTTGTTGTTATTTTTCTACAAATGTAGAAAATATACATTATTTTTTACATAAAATTAATATTTCAATCAAAGACTGGAAATCCTACCAAAAATTAACTAAACTCCAATTATCATAACATAGTAACACATATTTAAGTCTTACATACATATATATCTATAGGCTGCACACTAACCACTGTCCATTTGTGATGTACATCCAGTTGCGTTACACATTTATTTTTATAGTTTTGTATGAGTTATCTTTCTTGGATCATAAAATTAATTGTTTAAATGGTTCCCATTATTTTTCTATTTTCTCGCCCATTGCAGGAGAACTGTGATAGGTGGAAGATAATTTTTCAACAATGTAATAATTTTTTAACTTCCTAAGTGCTAACTTAACACAAGGTAACAGTGAGCTCAATCTACAAGAATAAATATAGTACTTCATGAGAACAATGAAAAAATTTCCAGAGATATCTATAATATCTGATCCCAAGAGGATGTTTTGTTTTGATATCAGAAGCTCATAATTACATTCTGATTGTAATATATCAATTAGTTGAAGCCAAAAACTTTTGACAATGTAACATTCCCAAAAAATATGTTCTATTGTCTCTTTCGTTTCATTGCAAAAACTTCATAGATGTGTTTCTATAAGTTGACACTTATATAGCAGGTCATTTGTGCTTAAAATTCTGTGCAGAATTTTGTATTGAAAAATGATCAGTTTATTACTTAAAGTACACTTGAAAGGATGCATATAGAGAAGATCCCAGTGATCTAATTCTTTATGAAAAATGTCACTTTCCATTTATTTTGTGTATTTATCGGGTTTTCATGATAAATAGACAAAAATAATTTATAAAAATATGGGCATGATTTCTGATTTGTTTTCAAATACTCAAAATTATCACAAGTAATGTTGATTTTCTTTTCACAGTTTTTGATGCGGTCCCTCCAACTACTTGGGATCATATGATATATACCATTGAATTGAAGAAAATTTGTTTCAATATCAAATGTTTCTTTAAATTAATTAATAGAGAGAAAATCATTGTTCTCATTCAGTAAACCATTGACAAACAATATTCCTGCCTCACACCATTTTTCATAAAAAATAGATTTATTTTTAATTTTTAAAAGTGTATTAAACCAAAATGGGCTGGCTCATGAAGTCATTTTAGTCATGGGGTGCATTTCTCAGTTTAGCCCAATTTAGAAGGATGTCCTTCCAAAAACTATTAAAATATACTGAAATTTGTTTAATACTATCCTTATTCATCACCCACATCTTAACTGCACCATATTTTCTATATTTATCATTGAAAAGAATTTTCCAAGGAGAAAGATTAAAGGGGTCTAATAATTTATGGATCCGTGTCATTTTCATAGCATAACAGAAGGATTCAATATTAGGCATCTTTAGTCCACCAGTATCATATAATCCTATTAGAACATTTCTTTTGATTTTATCTGGTTTACCATTCCATAGAAACTTTCAAAAAATATTTTCAATTTTCTTAAAATTTTCGAAAGAGGGATTTGGCAATATTATTAATGACTGAATGAGAATTGGCAATGCTAAAGACTTTATGACTGTTATAAAGTACGAAGTTAAAGAGCATTGAGGACCCAAAATTCCGACAGGTTACAAATGCATGTTTAAAACCTAAGAAGCAGACATCGATGAATATAAATCAAGTTTGCTCATGCCGATGTCTGGCTTCATTTTTATATTTGAAAATATAATTTTACTCATTCAGCAGTGCTCTCTCGTGGATATTTAATTTATCTCCATATTCATTGTCTCCTGTACATTTATCACAAGTGTCATATTATAAGCATACATTCAAAATAATATGTAAGTTTATTGTGAGTATTCTAGAATAGGCAATACCAGTATTCATATATATTTTATTGTGCATCAAGTAACTAATGAACAATAACCAAATTATTCGTAACAATAGTTATAATCACACCCAATCATTCGTAACAATAGTTATAATCACACCCAATCATTCGTAACAATAATTATATTCACACCCAATCATTCGTAACAATAGTTTTAATCACACCCAATCATTCGTAACAAAAGTTATAATCACACCCAATCATTCTTAACAATAGTTATAATCACACCCAATCATTCGTAACAAAAGTTATAATCACACCCAATCATTCGTAACAATAGTTATAATCACACCCAATCATTCGAAACAAAAGTTATAATCACACCTTATCATTCGTAACAGTAGTTATAATCACACCCAATCGTTCGTAACAATAGTTATAATCACACCCAAATCATTCGTAACAATAGTTATAATCACACCCAATCATTCGTAACAATAGTTATAATCACACTCAATCATTCGTAACAATAGTAACAATCACAACCAATCGTTCAAAACAATGGTTACAATCACACCCAAACATTCGCTACAAGACAACATAACTAAATAGGGTGCGACTGCTAGAGCCAACATGTTTTTAAAATGTGCAGGCTTTCAACAGAAGTTATCTGTTTGTCCTACATTCACACATAAATAACAATGAAAACTATCAATGTAACACAAATTAAATATATTTCAAACATTATTTGTCAAAATTCAACAAAATGTCTTTTATAAAATTGCCACTGAACAATATATACTATCAATGACCTGTTAAGTTGCAACTTTCTCTTGCTAACTAAAATACTTTAAGATAAAATACATACATATTATGTTTAGGAATACATTCTATGCAAATTAATGAAATTAATGAATTATAATGCATAACCCGATTTTAAACACAAATTCTTTTAGCAGTCTAGAAACGTTTTTTTAAAAATGCATTTTAACATTAATAATACGACTAAACTATTTCAACAATATGTAATGTATATTGAAGATCATTCCCTCTGTAAATGTTCTTCCATTTTGAAATCAACACTGAAGTTGAAATAATTAGCTGTTATCATCGTCAAATCTGCGCTCTGTGTTATAAAGCACAGGTGAGGAAGTAGATATTTGAGCAACCTTTAGTCAGAACAGGACTAACGTAGGCTGAGCATGCACATATAATATAATCAATAACTAAATTGGTTTTTTCTTATATTAGCAGTCGAGTAAGAATGTAAATTCTACATTTTCAACAATTGATAGTATTCTAAAATTTTACACTTATTCTTGACTTATTAAGTATTTTCAGTTAACGAATATGAAATTAACACAAAATAAATTGAATGCTTCCGAAGCGTTTTTTTTGGATGGCAGAAATCAATGCCATCCCAAAATTCTCCTCTTTTTAACATACAATTGTCAATATATCGTTGTTTGCTGGAAGGCTGTTCTACCTAGCGTAAAACATCATCCATCCTATGTTATTATACAAAATGTATAGAAAGTAATTTTAAAGGGTACGGTTTTCGCGGATTTTGTGTTTGACTAAACCGAGAAAGGAACTAATCTTTGAGGTTGCTTTGGTTATAGCAAAATTGAGAATAAATAATTTCAGATCCAACGAACAATATAATCCCCCCTCCAATACATGATTTGCCAATCACATATATTTATTCATAAACATGAGTAAGCAAAGTTTTCAATTTGGGCGCTCATGATGTAGGCAAACCCAAAGAGCTACAGACGCACGAAATGTATCAAGTGTTTTTCTATTTTACTATCAAACATCTTTAGTTTCTCCGACTCTTGGATAATTCTGTATTAGTTCTCTTCTATTGTGGTCCACTTCTTTAGCCTTGGTATATAGCAAAACACCAATTGTAACAATAAAAGTCCCCAGTCCACTTAGAAATGTAACCGGGTTACCAAATACTAATATTGATATCCAAATAAGCAAGGCTCGCTTAACTGTGTTGGCAACGCTGAAACAGAAAATAATATATGCCTTTTTATTTACCTATTTTACAAGAGCTTGACAGAAATGTCTGAGAAAATAAAACACAAAAACACTTTCTGAATAAATAATCCATTTGCAGAGTTTAATTGCCAAACACCAATAATGTAGAAAGCAGATTAGCCCTTAGCTAAATATATTTATAGGAGTGCGACTCATCAGCTCTGCTTTAATAAACCCCCTGATACAAACTGTAGCAATTAAAATGCATGATATCTTTTCCTTGACATGCTTGAAATCTGACAGTAAATATGAGTAAAAATAGACCAAATGGACTATGGCTGATATATATGTACTATCAGCTGTCAGAAACCTGTAAAAATTTATTCAATTTTTTGCTGCCTCAGCTATCCACAAGTGGTTACTCAGAAGAAACATTATATCAATAGACATATCTGTCTACACGTCTACGATGAATGGACTGATGTAACAACAAGGATACTATACATTTCAATTACATATACACAAAACAAAAACAAAAAAAACCAATCTTTTACTTTTCAAGTTCTCATCTAAAAATTTACTTAAATTGGCGATTTTGTAAGACAGGTTTGAATTTTAAATACCATTTATGGGTGTTTAATCCATCAGATAACGTTTTAAAGCATACTAAACCAATTCAACTAGAACCTAGAAATAACATTTTTAAAGCAAATAGATATAAATAAGTTTACACCTACCTGTGAGTTACAGGTGATATGTAGCTCATTAAAACATAAGCTGATAGACTTTGGAAGTGAAAACATATTCCATCAATTACGTATGCTGAGAACATAAAAGTATCGAATGTCTTACTAGCAGAATCCATATCTATCATGAAGTAACAAGCTGGAATTTGTACAGCAATTGATGATATACTAGTGTAAAATTGTAATTCAACAGGCCTGTAATAGAGAAATATTTGTATACGATGAAACAAGCTGTAACTGTTATTGATGATATAGTACTTGTGTAAAATTGCAGTTTTGATAGTCTGTAAATTTTTTTTTAAATGATCATCTTATTTAAGACGGGTGCCACATGTGGATCAGGAACTGATTACCCTTCCAAAGCACCTGATTTCACTCCTGTTTTTTTGTGGGTTCATGTAGCTCCATCTTAGTTTTAGATGAAGTGTTCTGTAGAATTTTTCTTTTCGTCGTTTTTCGTTGGTTGAATGCTTCAATTGGTTCTCAAGTCCTGTGGTACTAAGGATTAATTGTATTGTCTTGCTTTCATGTTCATGTATATGTTAATTATTTCACCTTTATAAACTTTTCAATAATGGAAGATAATTATTGACTAAAGACCTGCCTCTATTTTTCGAATAGTTGCTTTATCTGATATAATGTTTGCATTTTGAGTTAATTTAATCATGTCATTGAGATCTCAATCCGCTTTTAACTTAAATTTTTTTTTAAAAACATAGTTTAATAAGGTTAACAACTGGTTTTATTAATGGTGGATGATACCTGTATAGCAGGAGACGCTTTATCGTGTTGACGCACCCGGTCTCGTTGGAGTTAATGCGATTCTCTCAGTTATTGTTTGTCATCAAAATTCAAAGGTAGATATAATTCATGGATAACAACAGTATTAAAATCCATCTATTAAACCATATTTGAGTTATAATTAGACATTAAATTGAGAATGGAAACGGGGAATGTGTCAAATAGACAACAAACCGTCCAAAGAACAGAAAACAGCCATAGGCCACCAATGGGTCTTCAACACAGCGAGAAAATCCCGCACCGGAGGCGGGCTTCAGTTGGCCCCTAAACAAAAATGTATACTAGTTCAAAGAAAATGGACGTCACGCTAAACTCCGGAACATATAAATGAGCCAAAATAAAAAAAAACATACAAGACTAACAAAAGCCAGAGTTTCTTGACTTGGGACAGGCGCAATAATGAGGCGGGGTTAAACATGTTTTGTGAGATATATTGAAAAATGACAATTTGTGTCCTTAATATTGTTTTCTGATGTTAAAGGGAAATCAATTCTACTTACGTATATCTATATTTTTCACCACTAATTAATTTTTTGGAATAAACATTCTGTAAACTGAAAGAAAATAAGATATAAGTACTTGTAAATTTTGTTCAAACATCTAGCGAGAGAAAGTATTATGCAAAAAATAAATATGATTGAGTACAAAATATATTTATTAAACTTAAAATCAACAGAATGGTTCTAAAACAACAAGTGGAAACATATGTTTTCAAATTGCACATATACACATTTTTTCCGATGTAAATAGTTTTATAAAGCCTTCCAAAAATGCAAGTAAAGCAAACGTGCATGTAACTTCTGAAAAAATAAACAGCAGTGTGGTGAGATTTCCCATCCGGTTGAAGTTTGAAGTACAAGACAAAAGTAAAATAACAAAAATACCGAACTCCAAGGAAAATACAAAACGGAAAGTCCCTTATCAAATGGCAAATTCAAAAGCTCAAACACATCAAACGAATGGAAAACAACTGTCATATTCCTGACTTGGTACAGGCATTGACATGTAGAAAATGGTGGATTAAACCTTGTTTTATAGCTCGCTAAAATTTGCAATTTGGTGGAAAACAAACAACTAAAACTTTGACTGAGAAGTTTTTAGAATGAACGTCGCGTCGTACGCTGCATTTATCTATTATGTTATCCAAATAATTTCACAAAACGTCGTCAAACTGCATTTTCTGACGTCAGATCTGTAATTATTAAGTTATATTGTTATTTAATTGAACTGGAATTGTGTACATCAAGTATTTTGTTAAACAGTATGGGGTATAATAAACAAAAACGTTTATATTTTTAAATATCTTTGTAAAAATCAGATAGGTCTTTTTTTTAATAAAATAGATTTTGTTTTTAATTCTACATATTCTAGCAATGCAGACGGATTGGAATATTAAATATGTCTTCCACCTTAACATACCAAGTTTTCAATACAATATTGATATGGGATAACACAACCTCGGATGAATTGAACCTCGAATAAGCTGAATAGTTATGTCGAGTCCCTTCAAGTTCGACTTATCGAGGTTTAACAGTAAAAAAAAACCCGGATCATTTAAAGAAAGGCGCTTTGGACGCATGACATTATTTAACTTGTTTTCAATTTTTACTCTTACGAAATTGGTTGAGTTTCTTTTACTCAATTGTAATATCAACAAATGCAACTTATCTTCAAATTTGTACTTGCCATGAACAATCCATTTGGTGCTACTAGTACAGTACCTTTCCAGAGCACCTAAGACTACCCCCTCCCCCCAAACCGAGGCTTGCTTGGATTCATGTTGCCCAGTCTTTAGTTTTCAGTATAGTGTTTTGTAGACTGTTGGTTGACTTTGGTCGTCTTTATTGGCTATAGTATTATCTGTTTTTTGTCGACTTATGCTTTTGTATATGCTATTGGTATCTTGTTTTCCCTCATAACTTACCAACAAACTTCTTTATGCATGTAATTTCAATATTTTTATTTGATAGTTAAATAATAAGTACGCGTGGGTATAAACATATTCAGATATCCAATTTAGCAGTTGTCTTTAGGTCCAGTTTAAGAATAAAATATGTCGCATTAGTATACTTTTTGACTATTTTTTCCAAGGAATTATATCCAAACTAATTCTTAGTGTTTGGATGAGTGAATTCATAAGTTTAAATTTCAAGACTGCATAAATGTATACATACCAATCAGCTACATTTGTAGCTAAGGCTGCAATAAAGCCTTTAATATTAAAACTAAGTTCATATGCAGAACACAGGGCCAATCCACTCATTATTGGAATCAGAGACATAAATGTATACATCCCTGTGTACTCTCCAATCAAAGCATAGGAAATAAAACACGTAAATAATGGCGCTGAACTTTTCACTGTCTCTGTAAGTGATACTGCTACATGCTTTAACGCTACTAACCCTAGGACTACTGTGGAAAATCTGAAATTTAAATAAAAAGCAAATTAGAAGAGCTAACCTTCTGAGTCAAGCCTTTTTTAACTGATTTTCAATGGATCTTCCAATGTTAGGCTGTTGCACAGATTAGGGAATGGTTGAATGCTTAAAACATGTTTAATCCCTTAATATCCGTTATGTTCCAGTCATAAGCCAGGAGCTTGAAGTATGAATCCATTTTGGTTGTTTTACTATATGTATAATGGTTTTCGCTCTCAACAGGTCATGCATTTTTACTGTTTTGAATTGTTTGATATTTTACACACTCGTGGGCTTTTAAAGCTACCTTTATGGTACGTTTTTGGTTTTGCTCATTTGGAAGGCCCTACATGGTGGCCTGTTGTTGTTTACACACTTGGTTCTAGTATTTGTTGGATAGTTGAGTATCCTTCTGTATATTAAAATGCTTTTTATTGTTAATAACGTTAACGGTACTAATTTTACTGCACCAGATGCGCATTTCGACAATTAAGAGAAAAGAAACCAAATTAAATAGTTTAGGTCTTTAATTCACGGATATGACCTGCAAAAATAATTGGATCAGTTGACAGTCTCATTTTCTTTTCCTTAGTAAACAGCAGTAAACAGAAAACATTGGAATGAATATATTTTTATTTGCATATGTTTAATACTAAAGTCTCATTAAATATGAATGTTGAAATTGTTCGAATAAGCAACCAGCTTACTTCTTGAAAAATTCCAGTAAATAATATTTGTTTTAAATTAAGCTCCAAGGTATAAAATTTCAAACTGTAAGATATATAATTATCAACAAAGTCAACTTAATATAAATTGGCTGCTTTTTTATGATTTTAATTGTTGCTAGTTTAAAGCATTAAAATTAAATCATTTCAGAATATTATTTTCTTATTGATATATTCAGTTTATTTTTGTAATTTCATTCTGTTGTCTGACAGGACAGAATGCAATACTGGAAATAAACTACTAACAATATGAAATAAATAGGCAAGCCAATAGGTCAGACGTCTCTATCTGTCCTAAAGGTCAAATTAAAAATCTAAAAATTATGATGCAATAAGTAATATTTCTGCAGAATTCAATCAATTTTATGTATGTAATCGTCTAATATGTAGTTGTCACGAGCAAATTTCCAACTAGGGAATAAGAACCTCTGTTAACTCTACTAGAGCACGTTAGTACACAGAAAGTGGTTTATTTGGCTCAAACTGTAGTTTTATGTATGTGCTTTGTGAATCATTGTCTAATTAATTTTTTGCCATGGAGTTGTCTGTTCTTCCTACTCATTAATTTTAATCGCTCTTTTTGTTTGTTTTACTCTAAAATGACTCAATATTAATTACCTCATACATCCAAGTAATATCATATTTTTCCAGAATTTAGGTGGTTTCCCTTCCCGTATGACAGGTTTATAAAACCCGGATGGAAGATTCATTTGTATAAATCCAAATAATGTTGTCATCATCATTTGCATGGCACCTAAAACAATCAAATCATTTACCACTTAATCAATTAAAGATTCAAAACTTTAGGTTACCCCACCATTCATTATAGCACCGTTAACAAAGGGGCGAGATGATTTCACGGGACATTTGATCCAATGAATAGTTGTTATTTTCTGGTCGGGAGAAATTGATACTGAACTTTCAATCATTATATGACTTAAAATTCCAATAATTTATTATACATTATACAAAATAACCATCTTTTAAATATCACTGAAGCTTCATTCAGAATTTTCTTCAACAGAATCTTGCCAAAAGAGAGATTACAAATAGAGTTCCATTTTAAAATTAAAAATATATATATAAGTATTTAGTATGACAATAAATTTTCACTTCTGTACTCGTACTCTGAACAACAAATTTATTAATTTTATGAAAAAATGTCTACTTCCGTACTCCTAACAACAAAATTATAATATTTAAATTTACCTGTTGTTTTATTTAACGCCATTTAGTCTCAGGCAAGAGTTGTCTTATTGACATTCTTCCTACATCGTTTTTATAACTACCTATGTTATATAGGCACCTACGTTTTACTATTGTATTTATATTGTGTCATAGATCAAACTTATTCTTTCAGTTTATGTTTACTTGTTTCTGTTTAAATGTCTGTTTGATGGAGTTAAGCCATTTCAATCGATATTTTATACTGTGTCTTTTTATGTTGTAATGATACACTACTGTCTCAGGTTAGGGTGAAGGTGCCTCTATCAAGGAAATCATGATAGGAAGTACAAGCCCTAGAATATCGTATCAACTGGGAGATATATACTCCATATGCAGGCGCTGTTGGAATTTTGCTACATAGAAATGGAAATTTCACAATTGGGAAGCTAAAATCATCTCTTTTGTCGTAAAGTTTTGTTTTCAACCGACTCTCATTGGGATAGATGCGTTCAACATAGTCACCAAATTTTGAATTATTTAGTGAGAGAACATCATCTATATAACGGAAAGTGAAGCTAAAGGATACTGCTAACTTCTTTACTCTTAACATGTTTTACTTATTTCAATATATAAGTTACTTGAGGACCACTTATATAATATAGTTTACTGTTAAAAGAAAGCAGCAATAAGAATAATGTTGAAACAATGTGCCATATAAAACTTTAGAACTATATTTCAAATGGCTGACACAAAAGAATCATTGATTTTGAAGAGTTATTTCCTTTTCAAATGTAAAACTTCTTAAATACATTCTGTTCCATGCTTTATTATAATGTACATGTTTAGTATTGCTGGACCACCTTTCCGTATTGTTGTTGTTAAAATATGTTTAATTAGGAACAATGTAAAAGTCAAGGGAGGTAACTATTTTAAACATACCTAGTACTGCTGGGTCTCCTTTCAGTGACGTTAAAATATACTTGTTTAAAAACAATGTGAAGGCACTGAATATATACCACAAGATGAGGAATAAAAACGCCCGAACATTAAATAGTCCGAATTTGTCATCATCGTCTTGTTGATTTTTCACCTTGTGTTTGGTTCCTATGTTCGTTCGTACTACATCTAAATACGTATTCATTTCAGTAGATGTTGTCGTTGTCTCAGCATCTTTGACATGTTTAAAATCACTCATTTTTTTAAAAAGGAATTACCGTTGTTTACCATAAATTCATCTCCACATTTACCTCAGGGGATTAGGTTAACTTCAATATGTCTGAAAGTAAAATTGAGTCAAAAGTCATATACTGAATTTGTTTTCCTTTGTCCCCAAGTGTACAGAGTCTTACAATGGGTAATATAGTTGATTGGGTACAAGACAATTCAGACTTCAAACAAAAGATATAACTCGGACCGTCTATAATTACGACTATTTCTGTTTATTTAGACTCTCTGGACTGACTATAGAGACAACTGATACCACCTATAGATATTTCAGTACATGTCTGGTAAATTTCAAAATCAATTCAAGGCGATAGAAAAAGGATATGTGCATTTACAATAATTAGTCTACACGTACAAAATAACAACCAATGAATTGAATTTATTATAATCTCACGCATTGATTAATTGCAGATGCAAACATATATTATAATTATACAAATACATTTTATAAGTAATCATTACCCGGACATAAAACATTGATTTATGAGACACATTTGTAAAACATAATTTTACGCTTACATAATTACAAAATATTTGAAAAATAAGTCGGTAGAAAATGACAACGCCATGGCAATAATAAAAACGAAAGACGACGTAAAAGATAAACAGATTCAACAAACACTACATAAAAAAGAATGAACAAAATGAACCCAACCTAAACTGGGTTATTTCAGATGCTTCGGAAAAATAAGCTGAACCTGCTCCACTGGTGGCACCCGTCGTGTAACGCATTGAAAGTACGCATTTGGTGATGTCACAATCGAGGGAATACGGACGGGATTATGGGTACAACCATTTGAATATATCTGAGGATAGATATTCCATGTCCGTTCTAAGCGATGATTTCAACTTTGCCACTTGGAAGCTTTTGTGCAATAGCTTCCTTGTATAACAGCAGCCATTTATTAAGTATATCGTGATAACAAACTCTGGTATATCGTATCAACTGGAAAATTACCTCATATACAGGCGCCACTGGATTGTTGCTGCCTAGAGTTCGAAAAGTTAGAATTTAAGCTAAAATCATCCTTTTTTGTCATAAAGTATTGTTCTCATCGGACCATCATTGTCAATTTCGAAATGTAAGTCAAGATATAAGGCAGAATATTTGAATTAGTTGTAAATGAGAAGTACAAGGATAATGCTAGCGTCATTTCATGCTTCCTAAAAAGCTCATGTATAAAGTCTGCCTCATATGAATAAAGGGACAAGTCGACAAGAAGAGGAGTACATCTAGTTCCCACAAGAATGCCTATTGTTTGTTGAAAAACACGTCATACAAACGTTACAAATGTGTTGTCAATGAAAATATAACGCATCTTAATGATACAAGAATTAAAATAGTTTAATTCGAAAGACTCATCAGTGACGCTCGAATCAAAACAGTTCAAACGGCCAAATAAAGTACGAAGCTGAAGAACATTGAGGACCAAATTTACAAAATGTTTTGTCAAATACAGCTAGGGCAATCTATTCCGTGGGTAGAAAAAAACTTAGTGTTTCGTCAATTTCAAAGTTTTATAATCAGATAATGATATCAGTCACATATAATTTTTTTGCTAGAAGCAGAGTAATGTTGATGAAGTATGATGCAATACTTCCTGCAACAAGATTTTTGTACCTAAGTTAGCCATTCTTTTTAGTTCAGTTCAGAATGGGAAATACTAGTGTAAAGGGTAGAGAAGTAAAGAGATTTAGACTGTATGTACTTAAACAGATCTTGTAAAATCCGTATCTTGTTTACACTCCCCAAGAATAGGTAGTTTCACAGTAATTTTGAAGCCCGGCTTTGATTGATGATAAAACTGAGGATTAGAGTTTGGAAAGAGGTTTCGTGGATCATTTGGCAGACACAGCAGTATAACATGGTTTGTAAGGACACTTATGTAATTTTGGTATCCAATACAGTGAAGGAAGATCTAGTTCCGATGGAACATAGAACAGGCTTAAGATTCTTCAGGATTTCCTCTTTTGTAAGTGTCGTGGGAGTTTATGTTGAGTTTCTAAGTGAATACCTAAATCTGTGATCAAGCAGTTTCTTTAACGCGATTTTTTATTCAAAATGGTATTGTTCAGGGCTTTAAATACGAGGACAATGCCATATTTGTCACGGAGGTAAGACAAGTGCTTAGCAACATTTGGGTCTATGAAAATAGATGTAGCATAAGAGTTCATAGACCCATTCAGTTTTCTAAAATGCTAACTTGTATCAACGACCCCACAGTCTTTACTATCGTGTGATGAGTGTATTGAATGAGATTAACATACAAAAAAAAAAGGTTTAGATTTGAATAATCGAAAATAATAACAAAATCAACTTCTGAAAAAAAAAAAAAAAAATCAACCTGCACTTTATTTTGTATGAAATGAATATGATAATTAGTCCTCATAATGAAGTATCAAATTGTTATCAAATTAATTATTTTGATAAGCTTATCTCGCACATGCAGCAACGTATAACTATATGTGACGTTTTACCTTTAAAAACGGCCGAGTTGTCTTAAATGTTTACCCAAAGAAATAGCAGAAAAATTACAAAAATCATAAAAACCACAAATGGATGACTTTGCTTCTGGAAGATGTGGACATGGTTGATCATGGTTGATGATTTGGTGAGAATCCTTGGCGTCCTCTGATAATGACCCTTTTGCATTACATCAAAGGCATAATTGACCATTAATAATATATTTTCTAAAGAAAAGTTTCCATTTAATCTTTGAAATAGCTGATAGTGTATTCCCCAAATAAATAAAATTTATATATCTATGATGTTAAATTTTCCTTAGAACTTTCGAACATGTCAAAACGGGATATTTAAAAAATAATGAAAATAATATAGATAGAAGCGGACAAGGAAGTATTAAATTCAGACATCTTTAAATTTTAAAATGGCATTCGCAAGTTCAATACATAAAGATCAAATTACAGCTGGATGTCAGTTTTGCGACGGTTGAAGTAAGATACACTGGAAATGAATCCAGTGCGACTTATTGATGTGCGATAAGTGTAAGAAAAAAGTTCTTTTGAGGATTGCTAAGGGTCATAGAATAATGAACATTAAAGATATAGGAAAAGAGGAAGGGCCAAAGGAAACATTCACATTCAATGATTTCAAGTGTGAAGAACATTCTGGACAATCTTGTTGTCTCTATATATATATATACTGTAATACTTGTAATAAAAATCTGTCCAAAGTGTATTACTAAAGTTCATAACTGACATGAGTTATTTGAAGAAGAAGACTATAATAATAGCAAAGCAGAATTGACGGTATTTCAGAAGATATATTCGTGTGAAAAATCATAGATCATTCGAGTGATAATATTAGCACAAGGAGGAGACACCGGATTTACTCCGGTCACCCTGATGTCAAATCTGATAACGATCCATTGTCATCTCGTGGAATACTAACAACACCATTATTACTGATATAAGCAATTATTTAGTGTATATACTAACAGACCAAGGACAAATAATTAACTACTATAATATACGTAACATCATTGCATGTTTCCGTGCTTCTTTGCTCTGCTCTGTCTATACCTTGAACTATCTAGTTGTTTTCCATGTTGTGCTTTGTGTACTGTTGTTTGTCTTTTCGTCGTTTTTCGTTTGTTGTCATGGTATTGTTTGTTTTCGACTTTTTGAATATTCCTTTGAAATCTTCCGCCTATCTTTTAAAAGGGCAAATAATGTACGAAGATGGACAGCATTGATAAATAATTATAATACTGTTGATAATAAAAAAATAACAAAAAAAAACCTTTAAAATAAGAAACAAAATGAGGAAAATTTATCAGAGGTAATAATCATGCTGTCATGTGTATAAAAGATTTTACCCTTTCCTTTCTTTACCTGTGTCTATTGAATCAGCTTGCGTAAGTTCAAAAGTTTCGGAAACGAAATTTGAAAGTACAAACATACCGGAATTTTATTCCGTATTGAGGATTGTATTTCGAATTACTGTAACTTACTGACATTTGTGCGTGCATGTATTGTAGAGATTCAAAACACTGGGCAAGAATGAAAGATTAATAATTGCGATTTCAGGAATGATGCAAATGTTGCTATCAAAATTAAGCATGCGAGTTTCCAATTTTGCGAAACGAATACCGTCGAAATATTAAACATCGTAAAAAATTTGTAAATTAACAGTATGACCACAAAAGGACTACCCTAGGACAATTTTAAGACACACCTTTAGCTATCATATCTTTAGGAAACAATAGAGAGTATATGTTATCTTATGAGACTTTTATTAACTTAGGACTGAGACAGGTCCTAAGAACATCCAGAGACATGTTATAGTCTTAATGCATGATCTCTGTTGACATAACCCAGTTTCTTAATATAAATTATTTTTTTTGTCATTTGAAAACATCATGCATAAAAGTAACAGACAAACGTGAAATTTCTATAAAAGTTATCATGGTCATGAATTTCATGGAATAAGTGTAAAAGAGGAAAACTAACACAAAAAAGAAGTTCACTGGTCAGCGAGTCGGTGGTCTTTAAAATCTATTCCATTTTAAAAGACAAAACTTTCAAACTTTTATATTTTTGTTAGACGCTTCTTAATTTACAACACAGCATACAGAAGGATAGTTTTGTAAACAATTATGTTTAAACTCCAAATAATTTGAATCATCCTCTTAAAATTTGTTCCGACAAGACTAACACTAACTCCAAGTACTGCTGTTATACTGTACATACATGTAGGTATAAAACACATAGGTGTGTACAAAATTTAATGACAACTATGTTGTAATAATCAGTAAACATGTTTGTGAAACAAACAAAATTTTATTAATTGACATATTTACAATGAAGTACCTGTGCCATGGTTAGATGTTACTACTGTGTTTAGAAAAAGATAGTCCGATTGGGACAAAGGGACGTAACTAGGCTTACACTACCAGGAAACTGTAATAATTAAATAAAGGTGCTTTCACAATTAAACATCACTTTCTTAGCCACAGACATATCTTTCCTTGAATTACAGAACAATACCTTCAATGAATACGAGAACGGGAATGTTTGTATTAGGAT